AAACACAAAGAAGTTAAAACGATCCATGTGTCTAATTCTGATTGCATCCTGAAGCGCAAAGCTTGTTGACATTGTTTTTGTACCAATATTTTATGCCTCAAATTATATTTGTTTATCATAAAAGCCCGCTTTGTTAAAGGTTCTTTTGCTCAGGAAAGTAAAAAGGTTTTTGTTTTTTTTATGACATCTGCACAGCTCTCCTTTAACAGCAAAACGCTGAAGAGAAGAATGTGGAACATCTGGTTTAACCGTGTCAGTTGTTCAAGAAACAACAATGGGTGTGTTCCTGGATCTCTGCATTAGTCTCTATGGGTTCACTGTTTAGGCTTTTAGCTGCTTTCTAAACCCTTTCTATGAGTCATGCTCTGCTCATGTTAGGGGGTAAGAAGTTTAAGACTGAACAGGGGAGCTGCTGCAGATTTCAGAGATAAGTGACAAAAGCTGACAGATGATTGGCTGATGTGCTGCTGGTCATACAACTCTAACAGCAAAGGGTGGAGATGGGCGTGATCTAAACTCACTCCAACCGTCTGCAGACCGAAAGGTGATCTTCTTTGACTCAGGTAAGTTTCTAGATGTTAAAACAAGAAATCTGTCAATTTTCAAACTTATTTTTTTCCCCTTTTGGTTTATTTTATTATATATACTTATGTGTTTATTTACTGTATGGTTAGTTTTGTTTCTGTGCTCATGTTTTAATTTCAGCTTCCTGTCCTTGTTTCACACTGTCAATATTTGCCTTTATCTATTACTTAGTTCTGTTTTCCAGCATTTGGCTTCTGACTTCCCTCTTTTTTATTTTGCTTTTGAGTCCTCCACTTTATGTGACAATTAAATCATATATGTTACTTATATCTACATGATTTATTCTCCGCAGTCTAAACCTCTGAAACTTGTTTCAAATATCCAGTTGAGATGTCAATTTTCAAGAAGTTCTTCAAAGATATCGTCCATGACAGAGACCCAAAAAAGGAATCTGTCAAGGTGAGCATGCAGGTTAATGAATTATGAAATGAAAAATATAGCTGAATGTCTACATTTGTTAAATGACTCTGATATAAACCTGACATATATTCAGATTTAACTCAAAGTAATATATTTTGAACATGTATTTCAGTAAATGTTGGTCATTGCTAATTAAAACCCACAATTTGGTTCTGAGGAAATAAATACTTAATAAGGCAGATCCAGATTTTTACACAACAAAATGTAGTTTCTGAGCAGCAGTTTGTTCAATATTCTGTATATAAATATATAAATGGAACGTTTAGTAGAAGGAAAAGCTAAAAGCAGGTATCGCCACATTCTTGGGAGGAATATTTCTCTACATTTTTTAGGAAATCGAACTTTGCTTATTAATGAGGTCTAATCCATAATCAGCGAAATCATCAGAAATATGTCAATCTGTGAGCAGTTGACATCATATCACTTGTCAATCAATCCATTGAGCTTTTCAGCAACTGACCGAATGGTGTTTACACTTTATCCTGAAGGGAAACACACCCTCTTTTATATATTTTTTAAAAACTTTTCTTGAATTCTGAATTGCAGACCCGTTCCAATCATGGATATTTTGTGCAAAATCTTCGATAAAAGTGGAAAAGATTCTCTTCAGACATTACACTAATGGAATACAATTTAATCTGTTTCCAAAACCTGAAAATAGTCTTAAAAAAATGTAAAATACAGATTGAGACCAGCACCTGAACACACAGCGAAGGATGGGATATACAGTCTTTGTTATAATAAGTGCAGACATCATCCCGCTTTTGTATGCTTATAATGTTGTTTCAATAGTCTGTTATCAATGGAAACCATTTATTTGAAAAGTAATCTTCCGCACTTCTGTTGTGAAAAAAAAATCACAAAAACATGCTGGTGAAGATTCTCAGTCATTCAAGTCATAGTCATTCCAAAAAAGTTAAAGGAGAATTCCGGTTTTTAACACTTTTAGCCCGTTTTTATTTATTTAT